TATGGAGGGCGACTGATGTTATAACTATTGGTTCTGGGATACAAATACCAAACCCTTCCTTGCTACCTTTACGGTATCATGCTAACGAAATAACCAATAGTATTATAAACGTGAGTTAACCATGCTGTCCATTCATCAGGGGTTAACGGTATATATTATATGTGGGCCCATTCGTTTTTAAATGGGATAGAGTGACATCTGATGGGAGGTTTGGAATATCTACTCTAATATCCACTCTATGTATTATTTGCATGAGGAAACCTGTGTATACACATACTCTTCTAGAGTTTGAATATATGGAAAGTCCGGTATTTTTAGGACATCTGCCATCTCGATTTCGCATTCTTCAGGTATTGCAGAGGGATAGTCAGTCCTTCCGATGGTCAGCAGAGAATAGATATCTATACTGAACAGAGCTGCACCGGGGAACATCAATAATAAGATCTCTTTGGTTTGAAGAACATCTAAAGAAAGGTCATCTCCTCGCCATGGATCCCGGTGCTGTGATTTCTTTCTCTGTAATCATCTTTGAAATGTGTATTGGGATGTTTTCTGGTCTCTTCATTGTAGGCACAATCTTAAAAGACATCTTTAAAGGACAAAGAATGAGTACAGGAGATAAAATAATATTGTCTCTAAGCTGCTCCAACATCTGCCTGTTAATAATGACATTTACTTCTGCTTCCGCATCATATTTTCCCTTTAACCCCGACGTGTATACGGTGTGCACCATAAACGCCTTGGTATTTTATGGCAGGACATCTTGCTCCTGGTTGACTACTTGCCTGTGCTTCTTTTATTTCATTAAGATCACCCAGTTGAAGTCTTCCTTCCTGTCCCTGCTGAAGAAGAAGATCGATGTCCTAATTCCGTGGATGATCCTGGTCATTGAAGCTCTCTGTCTCGGTAGTAGCTTCTTCAGTGAAATGACTCATGTTCCGCCCCAAGAATCATCCAACATCTCAGTCTCCTTTTTATTCAACACATTAGGAGATAACTCCCACCCCGGAAGGACAATTTTATATGTCAGTATGTTTGTGTCATTGCTGATCTCAGTGGTCATCACAGCTCGTAATGCCCTTTCCCTCATCGTTCATATTTGTAGGACGGGCAAGAACGTCACCCCCTCTGGCAGAACCAACGTGAAAGTACAAAGAGTGGTGAAAACAATGGTCCAGCTTTTGGCCTTGTATTTTTTCTCTTATTTGATATCGGTTATTGCTTATTGCTTAAAAGATTTAATAACACACTATAGATATGTATTTCAAGTTGCTCAGTTCTTCTTCGGCCCTGTCCAGTCTATTCTTCTGATTCTTGGTAACCCAAGATATAAGGAGGACATCCATCATACTATGTGTATATGTAGTAGGGTTTGTACACTGCAGAGTTAAATAATCTCCATCATCTGCCACACACCCAGACAAGAACATTCTACCAGCCATTATATTATGTATGATGAGCTGGCCAATCAAAAACAATGCTGTTGTTTTTTGTTGTTGTTTTTTTTAGGTAGAGTGGAGACGGGTTACAACATTTTCAAGGTTTTATTGATGTCTTCCATTTATAGGCAGCAATTGCAACCTGACAAAGGTTCTAACCCTCCCCTACTCTACTAAACATACTTTTATTGCTGTCTTTGCCTCCAGAGCAGAGATTGTTCTCACTTACTGCCCTTGTGATCACGGAGTAAGTGAAGGGGAAATCTCCCCAGCAGAGACACAAAAAACTACACAGCTTGCAACTATTACCACTGCAACCAAAACAAGTGTGCTTTGACTGAGGATAAGCTTTATACAAAATATTTTGAATCACCACATGTACAAGGACACCTCACCCCTATATATACAATATACACCAACTAAGAAAAAATTAAAAAAATATGGGGCTTTGAATCTTTTTCTTAGTTGACGCACAATGAGGATAAGCTTTGAATTATTATTATTATACAGGACTTACCGTATTTTGCGGTCCATAAGACGCACCGGACCATAGGGCGCAGGGAGGTCCGGCGCGCCTTATGGAGCACTCGACAGACCGTAGCTTCTGTCACAGCTTCTATGACAGAAGCTGCAGTTAGTGACCGTTGAGACAGGTGGCGCTGTGATTACAGCGCCCGGGTCTCAGTGATCACACAGAGCAGACGAAGAAAGTCCGTTCTTCGTCTGCTCTATGGTGATCTCGTGTAACGGCCGCCGCCGTCAGCAGCTAGCAAAGACGGAGGATGCGGCAGCCAGCCGCTCCTTCGCTGGGCCGATTGCGTTCCATGGTGGAGCGCACGCTCCTCACTTCCGGGTTTCGGGACCGCGTGCGTTCCACCATGGAACGCGGTAGTGCGCAAATGCGTGCCTCGGCTCCTCCTCCTCATCATAGGCTCATTTAAACGCCCAGACGAGACAGCATGGCGTTCCAATATTGAGCCAGAACGGCTGCTGTCTCCTGGGACCCTCCATAACCACCAGATTGTGCCCTCCAGCCAGTCTCACCAGAACCGGACACCACAAAGGACCCCCAGCTACCTCCATTGGCAATCACCTAATCGCAAGTATCTCAGTGCAGTTGCACACTCTGCCATCAGGACTGTATATTCCTGAAATACAAATTGCCAAGCTTAACTACTACTGGGGAACTGTACCAATGCCAAATAACAGTGTCTTGTCTTCTATGCCCTGCTAATTCATTACTCACTAAATGTACTCCGCAGCTTGTTGATTAGCTTACTTAAGGAATAACCCTCGCCAATCCATTTTATTATTTAATTTGAGGCTGTGATGCTAAGAACCCTAATTCTTCGTTAAGTTGAGAGTGAAACCAGGGTTCCATACCTGAGAAGCCTCCACAGCTGCGATCCACATACCCCCAGTCTGTAACAGGCGTGACATCTCGTTCGTCGCCACTGCTCGGTTTTAATACGAGTGATCTCATTAGATCACTCGTATTAAACGAGCAGTGGCTCCTACTACTCGCCCGGCGCCCGAAACTGCATGTCTCGGGCGTCGGGATTCGCTCCATAAGACGCAGGCAGATTTTCCCCCTCCTTTAGGGGGGAAAAAAGTGCGTCTTTATGGAGCGAAAAATACGGTATATACTGCCAACAGTTTGCGCAGCGCTTTACAATATAAGGAAGATGTTATAATCACAATACAATTTAAGACAGGATGGTAAGGAGGGCCCTGCCCCTGAGGGCTTGCAATTTACAATTTACTTACAATTTAAAAGGGAGGGGCCATTGATACATGAGGAGTGATACATGAATTCTGCTGATAAATTATTTTTTCCATGATATTAATAACTAAAAACCTAAAGGCCAAACAACTATTGTGATAGTAGGTGAAGCACTCATTCTACAATAACTTGGTCCAAGACGAGACGTCAGCACATGGAAGGAGGTTACGCTTTAATGAATCAGTCCAATTATAACCTAGAAAGCTATCGCAAACGCTATGTTTACATATACACTATCAGCTGCCTATATAAAACACAACAGTGCGAAACAATAATAAAGAAGTATTTTTATTCTGACTCTGTGTCAGCGTGTTTTATTTCTTCACCGATAGTGTGCACACTTTCTACTGAATTTGGCCCAGGGACAGATATATGTCAGATTCTTGATGTCCGAGTCCTAAACAGTGGTCTGCATCATTGATACGATAGGATCCCCAGGAGTCAATGTGAGTCTGAAAAGTGTAATTGTGTTGTCATGCAGCCAGCAATGATTTGTGAGGTCGTTACTTTTGAGTCTATAGAAATCAGAAAGCTTTTGTTACGTGTTAGTGAAATTTGTGAAGTTTGTGTTCACCAAAATTTTCCAATTTTCAGGAATGTTTACCACTAGTGAATGAATTGAGGGGCAATTCCAAAACCCATCACTGCACTATTGCTGAATTGCAAATTTGTCCGAATTGTCAAATGTTTCTACAAATCATAAAGATTTTCCTACATTCCGGATGACTGTATAGGACATTGTACTCCTTCATAATTTTTTCCAACATGGAACTCTTGAAACAATGTTCAAGTCCAGGAGAAGCTCTGCTCAAAATATTTATACCAACCGCTCACATTACATAGCTTGATCTGCAAGTAGAAAACACCTTCAATAAAAGAATGAGCAGTGTGGTGTCCTAGAGCAGGGCTCAAAATTTCCACTCGCCCCCTCGCAATTGGCGAGTGAAAATCGCGTGGGGGCGAGTGGAA